GACCTGGCGTCACCGGTGCACACTCAAGTGTGTTCCTTGTGTTATTTTTTTAGATGAAGGGAAGAAGACACAGAAATGTGTCAGTGTGCTGCTTTTTAGGGGGTAGGGGTATGCTACCGCAATGCCCCATGCCTGCTTTGTCCTCGGACGAGCTTGTCCTACGGCCAGATTGTCATTGCTGTTGGAAGTAAACAGAGGCTAAGTTCCACATAAAACTGGGGGAGCTAACGCAAGATTTGGAAAGGAGGCTGATAGGTTTTGTGTACCAATAACCGAGAGTAAAAATAGAGGCTTTGCCAAGTTATCATGTCACAGATATATAGAGATGGACCCAGCCTCGTAAGCTACTTTGACACAAAAGCAAAAGAAAAGAAAGAAAGAAAGAAAGAAAGAAAGAAAGAAAGAAAGAAAGAAAGAAAGGACAATAAGCCTGGTTTGCCTTTCTGACAGAATGTCCAAAGCTGCTGAACAGCCCTCTGAAGGGCACGCAGGCAGAAACAGTCCAGGGGTGTCTCCTCCTGAGCAGCTGCAAGCTTCAGCCCAGGTTTATGGCTCCAGCTTTAGCAGCATCCCTGTTCTCAGTGTGCAAATAAATGTCCAGAGCCCAAGCCAGAGTGTGACTTTTCACTTGGGCTCACCGTGCTTGCCCAAACTGGATTTAATGCATCTGTTCCGTGTGTCCTCTTCCTCGGAAAGTCCTGGATACTGAAAGTCTAACGCTGTTACATGGTGCTCTGGCGAAAGAAGGAATCGAAACTGAACTCCCCCCACCTGCCTTGGTGGGGTGGCCATGGGGAGAGCCAAGCTCAGTGCTCAGGGCTCAGGGCTCGGGCACGGCAGGAAGTCGCCGGCTGCATTCTCATTAGGCCATCTTGGGAGAAATGAGGCAAAAATAACCCCACAAGGCCAACACTATAGACACCCTGGTGCCGCGACAGCCTGATTCTTAAGCAGCTGATCTCAGGGGTGGCTGTGGCCCAGAGGGACAGGCCAAGTTTTTCTTGCAGGAGACTCGTCCAGAACTCGCTCATCCAGGGTGTAAATTTCTCCCAGGTTTCTTCTTGGATCATTCGAGCACACTTTCAAAATCTGATTTACGTTGACTAATATAGTATGGTTGCAGGTAGACCAAACCAAAACTATCCAACCTGGGTACTATGCAGGGCAGTTCATTACCTGAGTGCTATAATTTGCCTTGAATTAAGTAAATTTGATTTCTGAATTTCCAACCAAATTATATGTTAAACCCTTGCCAAGGATTGAGAGTCGGAAAAAATGTGAGATCTTAAATATTGTTCTGACTTCACTACTTTTCTTGTTTTACCAGATAAAAATTGGAAGGGGGAAAGGCATTCAATTAACTTATTACTGTGTGAGAGTCAGAAAAAAAAATCAGGTAATAAAAAGAAGGTTAGCAAGTTGGTGTGAGTATACAATGATTTTGGGTGGAAATTACAAGACTAATATCCCAGCATTTGTCACCGCATTCAATGACACAGTTGTTAAAGTTGTATTTGTGTCAATAAGCAGAAGTTGAAAGTGGCATAAGGGAAGACCATCTCTTTTGCTTTGTGGCTTTGAAAAAAATTCAATGTTTTAATCCACCCATTTAATCACAAAACATATATCACATTAGTTATAATATTTATAGTGTTTAGGAAAGTGATTATAAATAGATTAGAGCGTGGCTGTTGGATAGTCTTTTTTTTTTTTTTTCCTTTCATGAGCATGTCTCGAAGGTATGTGGCACTTTTTTGAATTTGCCCTGGAGAGCAGTTTGCTGTGGAATAGCTAGCATATATTTATGTTTGGAATCCCTGATTGGTCATTACTGAGCTTGCTCATTATTTTGGAAAAACAAGATTCAGTATTAAAAGGGCCTGATGCTTGGGGTGTTGCGATCTCTGCTGTCAGCCCCATTCCTGCAGCTTTGTTCTTCTGGAGTCCTTAAACTTGCTAAGCCACAAAATATCTCTATTGCGATTTTGGAAGGAGCTAAGATGCTTGGGAAGGACGGGGCAGCAGGAGCTGAGGGTGGCAGTTAGTGGCTGGGTCACCTCAGTGTGGCTGGGGACGAAGGAGGTCGACAGAGGCATGTGGGGGGTCTTGGGACTGTGTGGCACAGACCCCATGGGACATTTCCCCCACTTTCCTGGTTGGGGCAAGGATCTTGATAGCAAAGCAAACTGTAAAGGACCATGCTAGACGACACAGTCCCAGTGTCACGTCACTAGAGTGGGCATGGTGTCCCCGAGCTGAGGCTGCTGGAGTCTGTTCTGCAAACAGTCCCCAGCCCTTGAGGCCAGGGTGACACTGTACCTTCCTGGGGAAACAGGGCGACTCCCCTACACTTGGGAAATCTCCCTGGCTTGGGTGATTCTGGGCGGGTTGTCAGTGTGGAAAGTGAAAGTTGGTCATGATTCCAGTGAAGAGATTAACTGGCAATCACTTCTACTCCATTTTCTAAACCTAAGTTTTCTGATAGGAAAAGATAAAAAAAAAGGGGGGGATTTCTAGGAAGAAGAGGCTGCCCCACACCCCAACTCTCGGGAAAGCAGTTTGGGAAGGCTTCTTAACCTTTCCTGGATTTTCCTTTCCTCATCCCAAACTGTGTGTCATGGGTTGGTGGCACTGCTGTCGGCGTGCAGGGTCCAGCACTGTTCAAGGCCAAGGTCGTGGGGGTCCACAAAGCGTGGAAGTGGGGTCGGCAGGCAGCGGAGGCCTTGGCAGAGCTGCCCAGGCCAGCCTCACCCGGTGTAGCCAGTTGCCCCCTCCTGGGCAGTCGAATCAAATGTGGGCCGAAGTTTCCTGGGAAGCAGGGCCCACGAGGAACTTTTGAATTTACCAATGGCATAAAAATATATATTTTTATGACAACGGGCAAGTTTCAATTGGTTGATAGAAATGGCGAGATGTGACGTCAAGGGACGCCAGTTAGAATGCCAAGGCCAGGAGGGGGGGGGTGGGCAGAGACAGTGGGACAGACCGGAGGCCTTGTTTCTCCAGGGTCCTGGCGGTTCACGGGTCCATGTGGCACCCAGCCAGAGCGTGCCTAGGCAGGGGAGGGGTCGGACGCGACCCCCTGTGTCTGCTCGTGTCCTCAGAGGCCCAGGCCAGTGAATCTGTGGCGTGGAAACCGCCTGGACACCCCTGCTTGTGGCTGGGAAAGACGCCGCAGTCTCCTTGGCATTCATTCTAACCGGTGTCCGGGCCCTGCAGCCCAGTTCCCTCTCCCCGGAGGAGCCCAGGCACGCACAGCATGGCCTGCAGCCAGCAGTGTCGCCGTCGGGCCGAAGGAGCAAGGCTCCGGCCTTGAACTTCTTCCCGCAGCTCTGGCGACCTGAATCGGAAAAGCAGGAAGTTGTTTCCATCGGGAAGGAAGAGGGCCAGCCCGGAGGGGCACCGCGCCCCCGCCCATCCCGCGTCTCCCCGGACACCCGAGGGCCCCTAACTCCGCCAGGCACCTTGCGCGCCCCCTTCCACCTCCTAGCACTAAACCCCTCCCCAGAAGGTGCCCTTCCGCCCCACCCCACGCCACTGGGCACCGCGCCCCTCGCTCAGCCGAGCCAGCGGGGTCCGGGAAGCCGCCGCGGGGTCGCCGGTGCGCGCGCCCCGCCCGGGGAAGCCGCTGCCACCGTGGGTCCCGAATGCGTCCCAGGTTCGGGCGCCGCGGAAACGAGCCCGGCAGCCCCGGCCCCGCCCCGCAGCTTGAACCCGGCGGTGGCCTAGAGGCTGCAGGCGGCCGACAATCGTGGGTCCGCTGGGGTCCCCGAGCCCGGCCTGAGCGCGCGCGCCCCGCCACCCGCAATCATGGCAGCCGGCGGCTCGGAGCGCAGCCGCCGATCGCGCCCCAGC